CTTCATAATTTTTGAAAACGATACCGAATGCGTTTGACGTAAACTCACACTACGCCCCCTGATTAAGAAGCTCAACAATTAAACAAGAATGCCATTAGAATGAGTTACTTCTATGTATGTAGTTGCGACTTATATCATCTAATACAAGATGTCCTTCGAGCCACAAGAAATACTACAAACAATGCCCACATAAGCCGCCCCTTCATCCCGGTTTAGGACTACCTACTATGTAAGTAATATACTACTATACAGCCGTGATATAAAGTATAATCGCATTATGTGGAATTCTTGGGACAACCATTTTGTACATTATCATTCTAAAGGAACGAAAGTTATATGACATAATTATAAAAAAACATTATGATTGTTGTTGTTGTTCTAGAGTAGGTCTGTTCATTGTTGCAGTTGCAATCTTTGAATGCAGTTATCTTTCTTTTCAAAAATAAAGAAATGTTTTCTTTGAGTAAAATTTTCTATCTACAGTATTAAGGGTACCTACTTTCCCTCTAGGGGGCATTACAAAATTCCACCCTGTATAGTATTACTTACATTACTAGTTAGAATATTTCAACAACGTCTTTGATGTGTATTTAATTTGAATTTCCCAGCAGACATTGGAAATATTCTAGTAACAGATCGTTTCATTTACTTACACGTGGTTTCAGGGATTGGCAGCACTCAGACCCGTTGCGGTATCGGCCCGATTCGAACGTTTCACTTAAAGGGAGTGATTTTAATTAATCTGTCAGAAGGGTCTGTAAGTAGTTGTGTTTTTAAAGGTCCGAATTAATCAAGTACAATGAGATTGTTATAAAGCACGAGTATTTATGAGGATCATTATTCAGGCATTATTTAATACCTAGATAACTAAGCTTATCTAACTATAATTTCATGCGTCTATAATGAAATTGATCCAAGGTTAACATTTCGTCAGAATAGACTGTTACATAATCATATTCATAAAAACATACTTCAGATATTTATCCAGTATACAGACAGGCCATAACATGTTTACCCAAGACAACGTTTATCCATAAGCTTACTACAAAGACAGAGCAATTGGATAAGATGTTAGTGAAAGGCGATTAAGTGTTATTCGATGTACCCGCTGAGCGACAGGACAATCAAACACGCTCAGCCCCGTCTGTCTCTGGTAAATCCAATAATTAATGTTGCGCCATTAGTTAATGGTATCCAAGATGCTAAAGGCAGCTCGTGACACCTTCCTGACACATCTTGTTACACCCAACAGTCACTAAGCGAGTTTCTGTACATTTTATCACATGTGAATCACGACTATCTAACACATCCGCAACTAAGTCTTAATTCAATTACAGTATAGGTATAAAAGCTAGTGGTATAGGTTTAATAAGAAAAATCTTTAATACTGAGTTGCACCATATGACTTTAACTTTGACAAACGTCGAAAATCTCTCAAACTCCATACAAAAAGCGCCGGTTATCGTTAGTTACCGTTAAAGTTAGATGGTGCAAATCAGCCTAAATACTAGATGTAATGTTGATTGAGGTAAGCTTATGAGGTTAAAAACACGTATGTAGATTATCTGCATGGATGAAAACGTTAAAAAAAATACCTAATGCAACTTTACTATTTATAGTTAAGTTCATACTACACGTTACGTAAAAAACAAAAACATAAAAATAGCTAGAAAAAACTGGAATTACGTTTTAACATTCAAGCATACCACGCTTTGTGGGCGGTTGCGGTTTTATTTGTACTAATGTCAAAAGCACAGTTTGCTAGGTAACATTCGCTCTATGATAAAAAATATGGTCTGACTTTTAGCTAATATTTACATTTGGATTTTTAACGTATTAATGGTAGCAAGTTCGATGCTTAGCAAGTCTTTGTAATCGCAAACCTAAAACCAAATAACAATAATACAAGAGTATTTGTAAATCTATTTCGGTATTACAATTTTTGCATTTAATACGTTTAAAAATTACATATTTGTAGATGAATGGTAAAAGTAGTACCATTTTTGGATTGAAAAATCATTTCTTACAAGATTAACTAATATAAAGTTCACACCAATCTCGAATCATGAAAATCTATCGAAATTAAATTATTCACCACTACAGCGAGTTTTAGTCCTTAATTGAATTTCCAGCAGTCAAATCCACGCGACCTTTTTCATTAAATATTTAATTTACGCCTTTCAAAAAATAACAAAATTCTTAGAGGAAAATACCCATTCACGATTAATTTGCTAAACAATTTGTTTTGATGCAGAAAAGGTTGGGGCTTGTGAAAGGGCCAGTGATTTTGTAGGTCGATTTGAAAGGAATGAACGAATTGTGGGCGTTATTATTACCAACGCTTGTGAAAGCAAAACTCGAGTTTTCACCTCAGCATAAATATTAAACTTTAGGTTCTACGAACACTTTTGTAATTTTCCTCCGAATGTCATGTTACCAGATTGGCGTGAAAATTTCCCTGAAGACGTATTCTAGACAAGTAAAACAAATCTGGCGTAAGCTAACTAATTACCGCAAATTATGTGTGACATTCTGAGCAATATGTCTGAGATTGTAACTCTAGGAGGAGCAAGAGCTCCCTTGGGATAACAAGAGCAAGATGGCAATTGTTATTACAGAATCGTCAGTTGATCTCATCTAGGGTAAAACCATTACCAAAACTTTTGACTAATACCCGATTTCATGCAACATTAAAAACTCCATAAATATTCTTACTTCTGTGCAAATGACAGAATATCAACCTTACTAGCAAATAAGGGTGAAGTTTGCTCGTGACGTGTACAAATGCCCTAACAGATATTCACCAAACAACGCTTTGCGTCTTTTCATGTAAATCAAAATAAGTTTGCAATATTCCTGGTAATGAGATGCTGCCAAAGCTTTTTACGAGTAATGCCCACGCATAGACCAGACGGAGTGTTTTGCCACAGGTTTTGCCGAATTTAAACTTTAACCTAAAGTTACTTATGGCCCACCAAAGTAAGTTCAGAATTATATATTTTTTTAATTATTGGTACACCTACATAAATTTTAACTTTTGTGTAATGGAATAAAATCAATTTAATTAGTTGTCACTTGACACCAACCAATAAGTGATTGAGTATTTGGGCAAACAATTCTCCTAAAATCTAAAGGGAAATCATGAATAAGTAACAGCTTATAAAGTAATTAGCTACCTTGGCTATTGGCTGGTTCAGGTAACTGCCACGTTAATAAAAATCAAACCAGTATTTTAAAACGGTTTCAACTAAAAGCTGTTACCATCTGTTGATCTGAATGTGTTATAAAAAAAACGACAACGCTCTTTTCATGTCAAAAAATGATTTAGGACGTCCAGTGTCCACTGCTGAACATAGGCCTCCCCCAATGATGTCCACAATGGCAGGTTGGTGGTTGGTCGCCTTCCCGCTACCTTTATGAGGTCGTCGGTCTACCTTGTATCATATTCCGATGCAGCGTCCATTTATCTCATAGAAAGCTATAAAAATATTTCTTCGTCCTTTGCTATAAATTACTCTAAAACTATTTTTTCTATTGCAGGTCGAGACGACAACAAAAAAGCTTTCGCAAATAAATACCGGTAAGTTTATTCATGGTACTTTTAAATCTGATTTCATGTAGAGATCCCAGTTATTTACTGCATATTTATTCCTTATCTGACTCTCCCCTTTTCTATGGAATGTTAAGTGTCCCTCTTCAGCTTAACTATGATCTTTTGTTGGTTTCTAGCTGGATTTTCCTGTTGATATACAGGTAGATAAGTCTCTTAATTGCTGGGCTATAAATTTGGAGTGTAGTGATTCATGCGTGCGCCAAATAGGTCCATGTCGGTAAATCTCTATCGGAATCAAGATAAGCGATGCTCGAATCAACACATAAATAACGAGTGATGAGTAAGGCTTTTATGTCCCGTTATTGTTACCTCGTAAGCAGGCCGTGGGCCGCAGACGGGGATGTTTACTTAGGGGATCGTTGTAAATCAATCACTTCTAGGTTAAGTGAGAGGCAAATACCAGTATTTACTTGCGATTTTCTTTGATAATGGGTCATCGCGGTAACGGTCTTATAGATCATATTAATTTTTAGGACGTCCTATGACGAACTAAGATTAAATTAAGACAAAAATTGAAGCAATTATAGAACGTGTTTACAAACAGGTTTTAAGCGATGCATTTTCGAAGTGCGTTTTACTTTTGAAAGCTCTTAGAACTTTGTTGTTCAAGTTATTCAACCATTATACATTCAATAATAATATTAATATTAATTATACGTCTCTCAAACTTATAATAATTTGCAAACAATGATTTAAACTTGGATTTATTTGTACGATCTTGGGATGGAAATTGCTGTCATAACTAAACATTACTGATGCTGAACTGAAAAGTAAAACTTAGCTAAAATTGAGGGTGAATGAATGTATGATCAATTCAAAGACCTTGAAGTACGAACGACATTAAATATCATAGTTTCGAATTGCATCAAAAATGTTTCTGATATACTAAAGACTTTACGATAATACCTTTTTTATCCACAACGAAGAAGCTCTTAACTTTGAATCTCACCAGTACCACTAGTACGAAAAACTTTCGAGTTCAAGACGAGGACGAATTTTTGTACGTTTCGAGTTCGAACTCGAAACGTTCATTCTTGTTTTACTGAGGATTTTTAACTTTCTAACTTCTTTCGTCGGCACGCAAGGCCAAGGAACTTGGCAAGCTTCTTTCGACGAGTCATAGAGTATTTTATAAGTTTTTTTTTATTTAACATGGAATGGTGTGTTCCGTCCGAAACATGCTGCGTTATTTTAAGATGTTGTTATAAAATTTAAAAAAATAAGTTACAAAGATGAATAATGCTCATAACGCCTCATTAATTGTTTATACGTTTTTGTGTTATTGTTTGTTTAATATGTAAGTATTTAAAACCATTATTATTTATTACCAATCAATATTTTTATATTGTTGGGTAAACAAATTTCGGAACATCTTTCGTCTTGTTAATGTAGCTGGCAAGCAAAGCGGCGTTATGAATAAATTTAAGTTGCTATAGAAACAATGTTCTGTTGATTGTCACTTGTGTCATAGAAAATAAAAAGAGCTATCCATTGTGTATTCCTACTGTTGTAATAAATTAATTTCGTGGACAAATCTATCTTCTATTTTTTCTACTGTAAAATCACACTCAGCCACACGCTCACACACGTCTGACAGTGACAAGACAAGGGATTTTTCTTGTTTTGACGTATTTTCTAACCTCTTAGAATGTTATTAGAAGTCGTAATAAAGCTATGTTTTAAAGTAAATAAAGACCATATTAACGATGTTAACATGATGAGACATCGGTAAGTAAATTAAATTAGCAAGTGAAAAGATTTTTTAGTTAAATCATGTAGTTAAATATGTATATTGTAATTCTATCTTGTTTTAGATTTTATGGAATGGAGGAGAAGATTTAACAGCTAGATTATTAACAAAAATCTTGCAAGAGCATCGAGATCTCGCTTTTGGCGAGTGGAAGTCCAAAGGCAAAGTGCAGCGGTTTGCAGTTCTTAGCCTCACTTTTTTGGACCTAACAGGACAGGAAAAGAATAGTCAAAGGTATGTTGATTGTAATAATTGAATCTTTATTATTTAAGTAGGTACCTATGCATTCTCTAGACAAACTGAAATGTTATGCCCTTTCATAATATTGATTGTTAGGATGGCAAGTTAAATTAGTATTTAGTTAACATTACGTTTTCTTTTTCAGAGGAAACCCGAGTAGCCAGATGATAATATATGAAACCATGAGCAGCCAGCCATTGAAACTCTCAGCAATTTGAATAACGATTTTGATTATTACCAATCATGTATCATACCTATTAATAGAAAATTAAAACTGTTAGGTACCTATGTTTTAATTGAAATTCAAAATATTGTTTAATGTTTTATAAGTATTTATTAAATAAATTGTCACACATATATTTTGTTTTAATCCCATTAATGTCTATTTGCCCGCAAGTGTTGATGGTATTTCTTAAGTGTGCCCAGGAACCTTGGTCCTATTACTTATTCTGTGCCGGAGCTGGATCTTTGTAAGGTTTGGGTAGGGTAGGTACCTGTAATGATTAATAAATTTTGATGAGTAGAATACTATAACATTAATTTTATAGTTATTAGTTTAGGTAAATAAGTTTATTAAGATCTAAAACTTTCTGGCTAAAACACTTACGAGCAAAGGTATGGAATCACCCTGTTGTGTTTTGTTCTGTATGATCTTAAGAACTGAATGCATATGTACATTTGTATAAAATAGTTCATGGATAAATCTTATGTAGGCATGAGTACCTACCTACTTCTCCGAGTATGTTGGGGGTATTGAGAGCATTGGTTAAGTAATTCCAAATGCTTCTTCATACCATCAGTGCCTTGGTATGAACTGGATGCATCTTAATGCATAGCACATAATATAACCTGTAATAATTATTATCTATCAAAGGACAAAGAAATCATGTGGTATGTAGAGTAGACAGAATGTATGAATAAATTATGTACTTGCCTTGTGTTCCAAGGACACTCTTTTTGTTGCCATAAGACTATCTTTCCGGCAATTTGTCACATAAGTAGGTATCTACTAAAATGCAGGTTTATTGACTTTGAGGCGGTATCGCTGCAACAACCACAACATCAGGATTTAAGTTTTTCCTTATTATGTTGCCCTATTTATTAGATATGAAATAAACAAACATTAGGAAAAATGTCCACAAAATATATTTTTTTACTCACTGTTGGGATGCTTCCTAATCTCTTAACTTAAAGCATCTAAACTCTAAATGATGCCAAACAAGGAAATAAATTCGCCGACCACATAATCTCCACATTTAAGCCTCAAAAACACGTAAAATTTTTATCAACGTAACCTTCTCACAACAAAATTGACAGTGACACAACATTCGATGATTTCAACGACAACGAAACGACGTTGATTGTCAAAATTAGGTTCGTGCTACGTTATTTCATACAAAATCCATTTTTCGTCACGCCTAGTATTTGAACTCGATACGAAAGAAAATCGAAAGTTTTTCTTACTAGGTTTTTTTTTTTCTTTTTATGACCTATAGGGGGCGCTGTTTAATTTTTCATACAAAATTTTTCGATGGCACTTTGAATACGCAAACGAAACGAACTCGAAAGTTTTTCGTGCTAGTGGTACTGATGGAAAATGATGATCAAAGGATAATATTATCAATCATACAAAAAATTGCCACAGTTGAGAGGTTATAAATATCAATCATTCATAGTAGTAATAGTAGTCTATCTTAGGCCACGGTAAGTCTATAAGAGCAATAAGAAATGTTTTGTCGTGACAAATAAATTAACCTGATAGAAGTCTCTCTTTGTCTACGATAAGTCTATATCCTCGCGACGATAGTGACCAACAACCCTGGAAAAGTGTGGAGTGGACTCATAGATTTCTTCGACAGATATGAATTGCCAAGTCGCGGCTCGACGTCTGTCGTAGTACAAATAAAACGAACAGATTTATTGTACGTCCGTTCGTTCGTTTCAGCAAAATGACGTCCACTGCTGGACAAAGGCCTCCCCCAAAGTTTTCCACAATGTACGGTCCTGCGCTGCCCGGATCTAGGTTCTTCACGCAACCTTTACCAGATCTTTGGTCTACCTAGTAGGAGGCCTACCCACGCTACGTCTTCCAGCCGGTAGTCGCCACTCTAGAATTTATTGAACATCAAACTATAATTTTTATTGCAAAAAAAACTATTATAACAACATGTTATGCCTGAGAGTTTACTCATAGCTTAATAAGCAGTTGTAGCAATACAGTTGGTCAGTCAATGACATCATAATGTTCCCCTTAGAGCTTTCTTCACAATTACTAGCTAGTAATCATGTCCCATAGCTACACGTGGCTTGAAAGGACTTACTTAACGTATTAAAAAATATTGTTTTAACAGTCAAATCTATGGTAGAAAACCAATTTTACAGCGTATAAAAAGAATGTAAATTGATTTGTCACGTCAATTATTTATCTAAGGCATCTAAGGCTTGGCTGTCCTCGCGGCCCAACGCGTGTTATTACGTGAAAATCTTAAAGGGAGGCTTGCGTATGATTTATACGGCCACTTTATCGTCTGCAGCTAGCCTTAGTTCCTTAGCGTTACACAAGAAACCGTGTTCGGTACAGAATTGATGGAGTGTACCAACTTTCGTAATTAAGAGTTTCGATGGCGTGGTGTAAAAACTCCACGTTCTATTGTTACGGCGGAATTAAAAACATTCGTTATGCTCACCCTAAATTAAACAGTTTGGGGAATTTTCAAAGGTATTTTTGTTTTCGGACTACTTAATTATGTATTTTCTGAAGATTGGTTTAAATATTGGACTTTCCACTTTTAAATACCTTCGTTAATAACTGCCTTAATTTTTGTTCTTTTAAGATTAATTGTTACATAAATTTTACTTTCTGTAGAAAAATATTTTTACAAACGGTTTTTTGTTCAAATTCTCGGTATTTTATCATAAAATCATAATTTATACAAAAACTTCTTTCTTGATTTTTCTATAATTTATTACTATTTTGCTTAGTAACAATCTGTCAACTAGAAAAGCTGCTGACTCGATTCATTCATGTTTCCGTACACAATCGACATAAAAAGGGGTGTATCGGTAAACGTATTCGGATAGTCGTAAATCAATCACAATGATCGATTGTGTTGTGACTTCTCCACAAACATACGAATGCGCGATTCTATGCGAATTTCAAATTTAGAATCGATTACTTGCACGCGTCGGTACGCAGCGTGATCGATTCGGGGGGATTCGGTAAAAGATGAACACATCAGCATCAGCTGTTCTGGAATGGAGTTTGAATTTGGAATGTTTTTGGAAGTTGACAAGATGCCAACAACAGTCTGGATAAATAAAAAGGCCTACGTTTTTACCTCAGTTTTTACTTTAGTTTTCCCAGACGATTTTTGTTATTTTTATGTTTTCGTTGATCGTCATGTAATATTTTGTATACCTATTGAGCCTTTTGATTGAACTTTTTTCCTAATGACCAATACCTACATGGTTAATATGGACACGATTACACCAAAATGGACAAGCATTATATTGGTAAGGGATCAATGTAGATTAGGATTAAAGAACAAGAGTGAGGTGTTGTCACACGTGAGTACGACTAACAAATACTAACTCTGAATTTCAACAATGAATGAAAAGTATCAATTATATTGATCAACACTTAATTTCCTATTTAAACTCCTTAACGTTTTATTACTTTGAAACACTTATCAGGGAATCCCATTTTAATTAGCTCCGAAGTGAACAAGAGCCGTTTACTTGAGAAATAAATTCCAACTTGAGCACCTAGCTGTTTAATTTAAGTTTTCCGACGTGAGTTTCAGATTTTATCTGTCTCATAAATAATTTCTATTAAAATTGAAACTTAGTTAACGACACGATCGCGTTCACTTGAAAACTTTTGCTTTATTTTTGGTGGATTGTTAAAATGTAAATAACTGACTTATTTATATTCTGTGTAACACCTATTTTTCTTCAGGAAAATACGTAACTACGAAAAGATTTGGTTTCCGTTATGAATCTAAGTTGAATGTTACATAATTTTCACGTAATTTCAAAACAGGATAATGTAGAAATTCATAGAAATAAGTATTTAAATCAGCATTTTAACATGACTCTCTTATACAAAGGCTATTAGATAATTATGTGAACACTTAATGAGCTTCATTATTAAATATTAATATCCGTAAAAAGTTAAGAATAGAGTCCACTAAACGTCAGTAACACTGAACCATCTCTTTTCACTTTTAATTTATTGTGGGTTACTTTTATTTTCTGGCAATAAGTATTCAATAAAACTCAGCAACTCCATAGTCTGCCAACAGGCGTGTCGCTTGGCACGTAAAGTATGACAAACAGATGCCTGATTTTATCGATACTTACTATTCTATGGATGGCCGCACATAAAAGCCTAAGTAATAAGAGGTTTTATTGCGTTCACTTGTTTTTTCGTTGCCAATTTTTTTTTTTTTACCACAATTGCCGTCAAAATACCTTGCAAAATAAATGACAGTCGATGTCATTTCATTTCACAAACACGTAACTTATGAAAAAGAAATTAGCAAAAGCCAGGATTAACAATTGGTAACACTTCTTTAATAGTGTTACAAAAGTCAGTAGACAGTGATGATTACTTTCTTTCAGCCAAATAATAATAAAAAAAATCTTTCGTGAGCTTTTTTAATAAATATTTATTTAGGTACATGAGATTATAATTCACTCTACATATTTTTTGCTCTGTTTTTCTTATATTATAAGCCTGCATAAACATGGCTCCCAACGTAAATTTTAAAACAAATTGCTGCCGAAATAATAGCACTTTATGTCGTCATAAAAATCTAAATCAAACATTTGCAATATGATATTAAAAAACCGGCCAAGTGCGAGTCGGGCTCGCGCACAAAGGGTTCCGTAGCAGCAAATATAATAAACTTATTATGTCAATTTAATCAACCTATCTCAAAAACTATAAGAGATACTTTGATCAAACCAAAAATCGTTGAAAGAGTTAATTAGCATGCATCACCTCTTTTTTTTTTAGAATTTTATACCCCGTAGTTATAAAAATAGAGGGGGGGGGACATACTTTTTACGACTTTGAGAGCTGATATCTCAAAAACCGTTCANGATGTTTGTAATCTTACGGTGACATATACAGCGCAAGCAGGTGCCCGCGGCATGACTTTCATGCATTACTATGCATTGTTGGGCGCAAAGACTACTATTATATACTGGAGACTACTATTATATACTGGAGATAGACATAGGGTTGCCAGGCGTCCGGCTTTAGCCGGACATGTTTGGCTTTTTAGGGAC